GATACTTCGACAACATCAGTCTGCACACTGTATCTCTGTATTTCATCATCTCACATAAATACCTCTAGAGCATATCAGTTCGCATCGATCACATGAGACGACTTCGAAACGGGTATAACGCACACAACAGGCAGAACAAGAAACTTCGACTTCGACTATATTTACACTGTAACTTTGCATTCTAGCATCTGACATGCCTACAGTTATAGCAGATACGATCGCACTGACCATATAGAACAACATCAGAGGACATATAACGAGAACAATAGGCATGTGAAGATACTTCGACAACATCAGTCTGCACACAGTATCTCTGTATTCTATCATCTCATATAGATACCTCTGGAGCATATCAGTGCGCATCGATCATATAGCAGATACGATCGCATTGACCATATGAGACGACTTCGAAGGACATATTACGAGAGCATAAGGCGAGTAAAGATACTTTGAAAACATCAGTCTGCACACTGTATCTCTGTATTCTATCATCTGACATGGAAACCTTTGGAGCATATCAGTTCGAAACGATCCTCAATCCCTCAATCCCTCAGCACCGGACCAGGTTCTTTGAACGATCTTTCTCCTACCATTTCGTCGTCCTGTACAATTCTATTCGTCAAAATATAAAGCACGTATCCAGATCTAGTAACCCAACCTAAGATATGTTACCAGATCTAGTAACCTAACCTAAGATATGTTACCAGATCTAGTAACCTAACCTAAGATATGTTACCAGATCTAGTAACCTAACCTAAGATATGTTACCAGATCTAGTAACCTAACCTAAGGTATGTTATCAGATCTAGTAACCCAACCTTAGATATGTTTACAATTTTCAGGAATTTTTGCGATTTTTGCAATTTTTAGGAGTTTTTGCAATTTTCAGTAATTTTTGCAATTTTTAGGCATTTTCAGCTATTTTTTAAATTTTTACAATTTTCAGGAATTTTTGCGATTTTTGCAATTTTTAGCAATTTTTGTCTTTTTTGCGATTTTTGTAATTTTCAGGAATTTTTTGAAATTTTTATAATTTTCTGGAATTTTTGCATTTTTGCAATTTTCAGAAATTTTTGCAATTTTCAGTAATTTTTGCAATTTTTGTCTTTTTTGCGATTTTTGCAATTTTCAGGAAATTTTTATAATTTTCCGGAATTTTTGCATTTTTGCAATTTTCAGTAATTTTTGCGATTTTTGCTATTTTTGTCTTTTTTGCGATTTTTGCAATTTTCAGGAAATTTTTATAATTTTCCGGAATTTTTGCAATTTTTGCAATTTTTGCAATTTTCAGTAATTTTTGCGATTTTCGCAATTTTCAGGAATTGGGCATTGCAATTGAAAAAATTGAGATGTTAACAGATCTGGTAACCCAACCTAAGATAAGTTACCAGATCTAGTAACCTAACCTAAGATATGTTACCAGATCTAGTAACCTAACCTAAGATATGTTACCAGATCTAGTAACCTAACCTAAGATATGTTACCAGATCTAGTAACCTAACCTAAGATATGTTACCAGATCTAGTAACCTAACCTAAGATATGTTACCAGATCTAGTAACCCAACCTTAGATATGTTTACAATTTTCAGGAACTTTTGCGATTTTTGCATTTCTCAGGAATTTTTGCAATTTTCAGTAATTTTTGCAATTTTTAGGCATTTTCAGCTATTTTTTAAATTTTTACAATTTTCAGGAATTTTTGCGATTTTTGCAATTTTCAGAAATTTTTGCAATTTATAGCAATTCTTGTCTTTTTTGCGAATTTTGCAATTTTCAGGAATTTTTTGAAATTTTTATAATTTTCCGGAATTTTTGCATTTTTGCAATTTTCAGATATTTTTGCAATTTTTTGTAATTTTTGTCTTTTTTGCGAATTTTGCAATTTTCAGGAATTTTTTGAAATTTTTATAATTTTCCGGAATTTTTGCATTTTTGCAATTTTCAGATATTTTTGCAATTTTTTGTAATTTTTGCAATTTTTGTCTTTTTTGCGATTTTTGCAATTTTCAGGAAATTTTTATAATTTTCCGGAATTTTTGCAATTTTTGCAATTTTCAGAGATTTTTGCAATTTTTAGTAATTTTTGCAATTTCTGTCTTTTTTGCGATTTTTGCAATTTTCAGGAAATTTTTATAATTTTCCGGAATTTTTGCAATTTTTGCAATTTTCAGTAAATTTTGCGATTTTTGCTATTTTCAGGAATTGGGCATTCCAATTAAAAAAATTGAGATGTTAACAGATCTGGTAACCCAACCTAAGATATGTTACCAGATCTAGTAACCTAACTTAAGATATGTTACCAGATCTAGTAACCTAAACCAATAAATTTTGTGGAGATGACTTTGTGTGTCTTGTTTATGAATCTATTCACTCCACTTTGAGATAACATGGACTTTCAACATAGATTAAACTCGAAGGTTGAACTAGAAGGGTGAATTCGGAGGTTGAACCTGAAGTATGAACTTGGAGCTTGAACTTAAAGGTTGAACTTGAAGGTTGAACTTGAAGTATGAACTCGAAGGTTGAACTTGAAGTTGGAACTTGAAGGTTGAACTTGAAGGATGTACTCGAAGGATCAACTTGAGCGTTGAACTTGAAGTTTGATCGTGAATTATGAACTTGAAGGTTCAACTTGAAGATTGATCTTGAAGGTTGAATTCGAAGGTTGAACTCGAAGTTTGAACTTGAATGGTCAAATCGGAATTGAACCTGAAGGTTGAACTAGAAGGTTGAATTCGAAGGTCGAACTTAAAGTATGAACTTGAAGGTTGAACTTGAAGGTTGAACTCGGAGTTTGAACCTGAAGGTTGAACTTGAAGGTTGACCTTGAAGTTTGAACTTGAAGGTTGAACTTGAAGGTTGAACTTGAAGGTTGAACTTGAAGGTTGAACTTGAAGGTTTAACTTGAAGGTTGAACTTGAAGGTTGAACTTGAAGGTTGGACATAAAGTTTGAACGTGAAGGTTGAACTCGACGATTTAACTTGAAAATCGAACTTGAAGGTTGAATTTGGAGGTTGAACTTGGAGGTTCATCTTGAAGTTTGAACTTGAAAATTGAACTTGAAGGTTGAACTTGAACTTCGAACTTGAAGTTAAACTTGAACGTTCAACTTGAAGGTTGAACTTGAAGGTTGAACTTTGAGTTTGATCTTGAAGTTTAACTTGATATTTGAACTCGAAGGTTGTACTCGAAGGATCAACCCGAAGGTTGAACTTGAAGGTTGAACTTGAAGTTTCAACTTGAAGTATGAACGTGGAGGTTGAACTTGAAGGATAAACTTGAAGTTTGAACTTGAAGTTAAACTCGAAAATTTCACATGAAGGTTCTACTTGAAGATTGTACTTGAAGGTTGAACTTGAAGGTTGAACTTGAAGGTTGAACTTGAAGGTTGAACTTGAAGGTTGAACTTGAACTCCGAACTCAAAGTTAAACTTGAACGTTCAACTCGAAGGTTAAACTCGAAGGTTGAACTCGGAGTTTGATCTTGAAGTTCAACTCGAAGGTTGAACTCGACCGTTGTACTTGAAGGTTCATCTCGAAGGTTGAACTTGCAGGTTGGACTTGAAGTTTCAACTTGGAGTTTGAACTTGAAGGTTGAAACTGAAGGTTGAACTTGAAGGTTCAACTTGAAGTTTGAACTTGACGGTTGAATTTGGATGTTGAATTCTAAGTTTGAACTTGAAGGTTCAATTTGTACGTTCAACTCGAAGTTTGAACTTGGAGGTTGAAATTGGAGGTTCATCTTGAAGGTTCAACTTGAAGTTTGAACTTGAAGGTTGAACCTGCAGTTTGAACTTGAAGGTTGAATTTGAAGTTCAACTCGGAGGTTGAACTAGAAGTATGATCTCGAAGGTTGAACTTGGAAATTGAACTTGAAGGAAGAACTCGAAGGTTGAACTTGAAGTTTGAACTTGAAGGTTGAACTTGAAGGTTCAACTTGAAGTTTGAACTTGAAGGTTGAACTTAAAGTTTGATCTTGAAGGTTCAACTTGAAGGTTCAACTTGAAGGATCAACTTGAAGGTTCAACTTGAAGTTCGAATTTGAAGGTTGAACTTGAAGGTTGAACATGAGGTTTGAACTTGGAGGTTGAACTTGAAGGTTGAACTCGAAGTTTGAACCAGGAGTTATATTCGAAGGTTCAACTTGAAGGTTGAACTTGACTGTTGAACTTGAAGTTTGAACTTGAATTTGAAATTGAAGGTTGAACTTGAAGGTTGTACTTGAAGGTTTAACTTGAAGTATGAACGTGGAGGTTGAACTTGAAGGTTGAACTTGTAGTTTGAACTTGGAGGTTGTACTTGAAGGTTGAACTTGAAGTCTGAACTTGAAGTTTGGAATTGAAGTTGAACTTGGAGGTTGAACTTGAAGGTTGAACTTGAAGGTTGTACTCGAAGGATCAACTTGAGCGTTGAACTTAAGGTTTGAACGTGAATTATGAACTCGAAGGTTCAACTTGAAGTTTGATCTTGAGGGTTGAATTCGAAGGTTGAACTCGAAGTTTGAACTTGAATGGTCAAATCTGAGTTAAACCTGAAGGTTGAACTAGAAGGTTGAATTTGAAGGTCGAACTTAAAGTATGAACTCGAAGGTTGAACTTGAAGGTTGAACTCGGAGTTTGAACCTGAAGGATGAACTTGAAGGTTGAACTTGAAGGTTGAACTGGAAGTTTGAACTTGAAGGTTGAACTTGAAGGTTGAACTTGAAGGTTGAACTTGAAGGTTGAACTTGAAGGTTTAACTCGAAGGTTGAACTTGAAGGTTGGACATAAAGTTTGAACGTGAAGGTTGAACTTGACGATTTAACTTGAAAATCGAACATGAAGGTTGAATTTGAAGGTTGAACTTGGAGGTTCATCTTGAAGTTCGAACTTGAAAGTTGAACTTGAATGTTGAACTTGAACTTCGAACTTGAAGTTAAACTTGAACGTTCAACTTGAAGGTTGAACTTGAAGGTTGAACTTATAGTTTGATCTTGAAGTTTAACTTGATATTTGAACTCTAAGGTTGTACTCGAAGGATCAACTCGAAGGTTGAACTTGAAGGTTGAACTTGAAGTTTCAACTTGAAGTATGAACGTGGAGGTTGAACTTGGAGGTTGAACTTGGAGTTCGAACTCGAAGGATGAACTTGAAGTTTGAACTTGAAGTTAAACTCGAAGGTTTTACATGAAGGTTCTACTTGAAGATTGTACTTGAAGGTTGAACTCGAAGGTTGAACTTGAAGGTTGAACTTGAACTCCGAACTTAAAGTCGAACTTGAACGTTCAACTCGAAGGTTGAACTTGAAGGTTGAACTTGGAGTTTGATCTTGAAGTTTAACTCGAAGGTTGAACTCGACCGTTGTACTTGAAGGTTCAACTCGAAGGTTGAACTTGAAGGTTGGACTTGAAGTTTCAACTTGAAGTTTGAACTTGAAGGTTGAAACTGAAGGTTGAACTTGAAGGTTCAACTTGAAGTTTGAACTTGAAGGTTGAATTCGGATGTTGAATTCTAAGTTTGAACTTGAAGGTTCAACTTGTACGTTCAACTTGAAGTTTGAACTTGAAGGTTGAAATTGGAGGTTCATCTTGAAGGTTCAACTTGAAGTTTGAACTTGAAGGTTGAACTTGAAGTTCAACTCGGAGGTTGAACTAGAAGTTTGATCCCAAAGGTTGAACTTGGAGTTTGAACTTGAAGGTAGAACTCGAAGGTTGAACTTGAAGTTTGAACTTGAAGGTTGAACTCGAAGGTTCAACTTGAAGTTTGAACCTGAAGTTTGAACTTGAAGTTTGATCTTGAAGGTTCAACTTGAAGGTTCAACTTGAAGGTTCAACTTGAAGTTTGAATTTGAAGGTTGAACTTGAAGGTTGAACATGAGGTTTAAACTTGGAGGTTGAACTTGAAGGTTGAACTTGAAGGTTGAACTCGAAGTTTGAACCTGGAGTTATATTCGAAGGTTCAACTTGAAGGTTGAACTTGACTGTTGAACTTGAAGTTTGAACTTGAAGTTGAAATTGAAGGTTGAACTTTTAGGTTGTACTTGGAGGTTTAACTTGAAGTTTGAACGTGAGGTTGAAGTTGAAGGTTCAACTTGGAGTTCGAACTTGGAGTTTGAACTCGTAGGTTGAACTCAAAGGTTGAACCTGGAGGTTGAAATTGAGGGTTGAATTCGAAGTTTGAACTTGAAGGTTGAACTCGGAGTTTGAACTTAAAGTCAAACTTGAAGGTTGAACTCGAAGGTTGTACTTGAAGGTTCAACTCGAAGGTTGAACATGAAGATTTAACTCCAAGTTGGAACTCGATGGTTGAACTTGATGTTTGAACTTGAAGACTGGACTTGATGGTTGAACTTGAAGTTTCAACTTGAAGTTTGAAATTGGAGTTTGAATTTGAAGGTTGAACTTGAAGGTTGAATTCGAAGTTTGAACTTGCAGTTTAACTTGAAGGTTGAACTTGGAGATTGAACTTGAAGGTTGTAATTGGAGGTTCAACTTGAAGTTTCAACTTGAAGGTTGAACTTGAAGTTGGAACTCGGAGGTTGAACTTGAAGGTTGAACTCGAAGGTTCAACTTGAAAGTTGAATTTGAAGTTTGAACGTGAAGTTTGAACTTGAAGGTTCAACTTGAAGTTCGAACTTGAAGGTTGAACTTGAAGGTTCAACTCGTAGTTCGAATTTGGAGGTTGAACTTGAAGTTTGAACTCGGAGGTTGAACTTGAAGTTTGAACTTGAATGTTGAACTTGAAGTTGAATGTACAGATACCATTTATTCAGTCAATAAATTTGTGGAGATGACTTTGTGTGTCTTGTTCATGAATCTATCCACTCCACTTTGGGATACCATGGACTTTCACCATAGATTAAATTTGGAGGTTGAATTATAAGGTTGCATTCGAAGGTTGAACTTGAAGTTTGAACTTGGAGGTCGAATTTGAAGGTTGAACTTGAAGTTGATTTTGAAGGTTAAACTTGAAGGTTGAACTTGAAGGTTCAACCTGAAGGATCAACTCGAAGGTTCAACTTGAAGGTTCAACTCAAATTTTAAACTTGAAGAATGAACTTGAAGGATGAACTCGAAGGTTGAACTCGACGGTTGAACTTGGAGGTCGAACTTGAAGGTTGATCTTGAAGGTCTTACTTGAAATTTCAACTCGAAAATTGAACTTGAAGGTTGAACTTGATGTTTGAACTTGGAAGTTGAACTAGAAGGTTGCACTAGATGGTTCAACTTGAAGTTCGAACGTGAGGTTGAACTTGACGGTTCAACTTGGAGTTTGAACTCGAAGTTTACACATGAAGGTTGGACTTGAAGGTTAAACTTGAAGGTTGAACTTGTAGTTTGAACTTGAAGGTTGTACTTGGAGGTTGAACTTGAAGGTTGAACTTGAAGTTTGAAATCGAAGTTGAACTTGGAGGTTGAACTTGAAGGTTGTACTTGAAGGTTTAACTTGAAGGTTGAACTTGAAAGTTGAACCTGCAGTTTGAACTTGAAGGTTGAACTTGAAGTTCAACTCGGAGGTTGAACTAGAAGTTTGATCTCAAAGGTTGAACTTGGAGTTTGAACTTGGAGGTAAAACTCGAAGGTTGAACTTGAAGTTTGAACTTGAAGGTTGAACTTGAAGGTTCAACTTGAAGTTTGAACTTGAAGGTTGAACTTGAAGTTTGATCTTAAAGGTTCAACTTGAAGGTTCAACTTGAAGGTTCAACTTGAAGTTTGAATTTGAAGGTTGAACTTGAAGGTTGAACATGAGGTTTGAACTTGGAGGTTGAACTTGAAGTTTGAACCTGGAGTTATATTCGAAGGTTCAACTTGAAGGTTGAACTTGACTGTTGAACTTGAAGTTTGAACTTGAAGTTGAAATTGAAGGTTGAACTTGAAGGTTGTACTTGAAGGTTTAACTTGAAGTTTGAACGTGAGGTTGAAGTTGAAGGTTCAACTTGGAGTTCGAACTTGGAGTTTGAACTCGTAGGTTGAACTCGAAGGTTGAACCTGAAGGTTGAAATTGAGGGTTGAATTTGAAGTTTGAACTTGAAGGTTGAACTCGGAGTTTGAACTCAGAGTCAAACTTGAAGGTTGAACTCGAAGGTTGTACTTGTAGGTTCAACTTGAAGGTTGAACATGAAGATTTAACTCGAAGTTGGAACTCGAAGGTTGAACTTGAAGTTTGAACTTGAAGACTATACTTGATGGTTGAACTTGAAGTTTCAACTTGAAGTTTGAAATTGGAGTTTGAACTTGAAGGTTGAACTTGAAGGTTGAATTCGAAGTTTGAACTTGCAGTTGAATTCGAAGGTTGAACTTCAAGGTTGAACTTGAAGGTTGTAATTGGAGGTTCAACTTGAAGTTTCAACTTGAAGGTTGAACTTGAAGTTTGAACTCGGAGGTTGAACTTGAAGGTTGAACTCGAAGGTTCAACTTGAAAGTTGAATTTGAAGTTTGAACGTGAAGGTTGAACTTGAAGGTTCAACTTGAAGTTCGAACTTGAAGGTTGAACTTGAAGGTTGAACTCGGAGGTTGAACTTGAAGTTTGAACTTGAATGTCGAACTTGAAGTTGAATGTACAGATACTAATTATTCAGTCAATAAATTTGTGGAGATGACTTCGTGTGTCTTGTTCATGAATCTATCCACTCCACTTTGGGATACCATGGACTTTCACCATAGATTTAATTTGGAGGTTGAACTATAAGGTTGCATTCGAAGGTTGAACTTGAAGTTTGAACTTGAAGGTCGAATTTGAAGGTTGAACTTGAAGTTGATTTTGAAGGTTAAACTTGAAGGTTGAACTTGAAGGTTCAACCTGAAGGATCAACTTGGAGGTTCAACTTGAAGGTTCAACTTGAAGGTTCAACTCAAAGTTTAAACTTGAAGGTTGAACTTGAAGGTTGAACTCGGAGTTTGAACCTGAAGGTTGAACTTGAAGGTTGAACTTGAAGGTTGAACTTATCATCTCACATGGACACTATTGAAGCAGACAAGTTCGCAGGTATAACGCACGTAGCTTGCAGAACAATAAACTTCGACTTTGACTATGTTTACACTGTAACTCTGCAGTTTCGAATCTGACATGCATACAGTTGATGCAGATACGATTGCAGTGACCATATAAGACGACTCTGGAGGGTATATAGCGAGTACAACAGGCAAATGGGGATACATCGACTTCATCGTCGTACACACTATATCTCTCTATCCTATCATCTCACTCGGACACTATTGAAGCATACAAGTTCGCATTGACCATATATGACGACTTTCAAGCCGGCATAACGCACACAGCTTGCAGAACAAGAAACATCGACTTCGACTATGTTTTCATCGTAACTCTGCAGTCTAGCATCTGGCATGCATACAGTTGAAGCAGATATCGTATATCAATGAATATACCAATTGAGACGATTAGAAAAATGATATATTTTATTGACAAATCGATAATAATAATTGACATGAAAAATAATTTCTTGAAACCAAGGTGAACTCATATACAGGTACTTGCTATATAGAAACACCACAGTACTCCCTCCCCAGAAACTTTATTCGGAATCAATCTCAAAAAGTAACTCTGCGACTTCTATTTGCAGGATTCGGCTTTCCAAGAGAATGAGGTGACAGTTCTGGGTCATTTAGAAGAATGGCTGGTTTGAGGCGATCCATGGAGATATTTTTTTCAGTTCCAATAATATTAATCTTGTAAACTTTTCCTGAACGAATCACAACTTTATAAGGTCCGGTAAATGGCGGCTGAAGAGATTTTCTGACGGAATCATCCCTCAAAAATACATGACTGCAACTGTGTATATCATCATAGATGAAACAAGCATTTCTACTGTGATTCGATGTAGGAACTGGACGAATCCTCTGCATCTGTTCTCTGAGTTTGAGTGCGAAAGATGTCTGGTCTCAATCATTGTTTCCATCTATGAAAATTTCTCCTGGTATTCTCAACTGAACACCGAAAACCATTTCAGCTGCCGAACACTGTAACTCTTCTTTGAAACAGTCCTAGGAGAACAATAGGCAGTATATCTACCCAGTCATCATTCTCATGTGATAAAATTGCAGTTATCAGTGTACGATTCCAACGCTCCAATATTCCATTTGATTGAGGTCTATAAGGTGTTGTTCGATTCCTCTGGGTTCCAGTAATATCTGACAATGACCTGAATAAGGCAAATTCGAACTGGCGTCCTTGATCAGTAGTTATCCTGCTGGGTGATCCAAAATTGCAGATCCAGTTAGTATAAAACGCTGATGCCACAGTTTCTGCAGTTATATCATGGATCGGAACAGCTACAGGCCATCTTGTAAAACGATCTATTATTGTTAGACAATATCTAAAATTCCGACATAGTGGAAGTGGACCAATCAAGTCTAGATGAACATGTTCAAACCTATAATCTGGAACTGTGAAATTCTGTAGTACACTCTTGTTGTGTCGATGAATTTTAGATCGCTGACAAGGTTCACATGATCTTGTCCAGAGTGCAACATCTTTCTTCATTCCAGGCCAAACATATTTCTGCTGAATCAAATTAGTTGTACTTTCTACACCCGGATGAGCTAATCGATGAATCATGTCGAAGATCTT